GTTGCCAAACATGTTATGCTAAGAACTGTTGCTGGGCACCGAGGCGGGGCTTTCCCTGGGACGTGGAGTCTCAGGGCAACATGGAGTCTGCAGCCTGGCCCATAACATCTGCAGCAGCTGGGTCCACCATCTCTCTCAGCCATTTTCCCTGAAAACAAACAGAACCTTGCAGACATCAATCAATCAGAGTCACCTGATGAGAATACAGTGTGCACTGCCGGATCTCCCTCATGGCGAGTTGGTAAGAAGAGTTCAGGGTCTGGCTGCCAAAGTGCCCGGGAACCAGGCCCTGCTTCCGACACGGCGGTTGCCATGAGGTCCGCGGGAACTGTGGAGCCAGGACCTGACAACGCTTCTCCTCCGCAGTGGAGGACAATGCTTCCGTCCACTGTGTGTTCACTTGCTTCTTCCTCTGTCCCCCGAGAGGCGTTATCAAAACGGATGCTATGGCAGGCATTTGGAACCAGAGACGAAGGTCACGGCCCTGCCTCGGGGTCTGGCAGTTGAGACAGTCCTGGGAAGGCACAGGTGCAATATGGCGGCCCAGCATTGCCATCAGGGACCCAGAGGGAATCAGGGGCCTGCAGGGGAAGGAGGCCCTGCCGGGGGTCAGGTAGGGTTGCTGGGATGTCCAGACCCTCTGGAAGGTGACCAGTGTCAGTGGGTGTAACTGGATGGGGAGAGCACTGGGCTTGAGAGGAAGTGGGAAGCAGGCTCGGCTGCAGGAGGTCCTCGCCTGTGGTTGAAGTGCTGACTGGGAGCGTTGCCTGGAGAGTGCACACAGCCAAGGACACTGAACCTTGTCCTGAGGCCAGTGGGAAGCCACTGGAGGTCTACAACCGGGGGTGACATCGTCACGCTTACATTTTTGAAAGATCCCTCTGGTGACAGCTGGAGATCACCACTGTAACATTTCCAGGGAAACTTTGAGTCAGAAGAGGACCCTCAGGGGACTCTCCAGGAGCGTCTTTTCACCCCAAAGCATCTCTTGGTAAGTGCTCTCCGTTTAACCTCCAGGAAGTGTTGAGCGGATCTGGAAAATGTTTTCTCTGAGCTTGGTAGAACAATGTGGATCTGGGGCGTGGCCTCCCTCTTGTGAGCCGTGGTCTCTGGAAGGCCCTAGTGGCTCTGCGTGTGCACGGTGTGGTGGCCCCTGGCGTCTGGGTGATGGAGGGCCTGGAGCGGCCCCTCTCACCCTGTGCACGAAGGCCTCTGTCGCGATGGCATCTGCCGCTGCTCAACCAGCTCGCCCAGTGCTGACATCAGCGGTTCACGCACCTCAGTGTATTTCTGGGCTGTGAATGAGAGTTTCCCAGAGCCAGCCCCCACTCGGGCTGTCACTTCAGGTGATGGATCCTCTGCATCAAGGGGGTGCTGCTAAGGTTAGTGCACAGCACAAGCAGAAAGGGGCAGAGCTGGGCAGCACTTCCCAGCCCCGTGGCCAAACCGCAGCCAGGAGAGGCAGCTGCAGGCACTCCGTGCCCATTGAGGGGGGTGGCAGAGAAGGAAGAAGCTGCTTGAGCTGCCTCTGGGCCTACCGTTTGTCAGGAGAGACCAGTGGACCTCCCGCCCTGCCTGGCCCCAGCCTTGGCCCCAGCTAGCTCCAGCCACCTCTGCTGTGCCTCTCAGCCACACAGAGTTCCCGCTAAACTTGTCCACATCACATGTCCATTAGGGCAGGAATACATGGGCATTATTGTTCTGGAACATTTTGTTCCAAAAGGTCTTGGACTGGTTTTGAAGACGCGGGCCTTCTGCTCTTGGAAAAATGCCACATTCTGTCCCCATGGTAAGCTCCCTTCGCGTCCCCCTCGGCAGGCTTCCAGGTGGAGCCTGGAGGTGTGGAGTCAGATGGATCTTGCTTCCAGCCACAGGATCACTCACTGGGTGCCAATGTAGACTCCCTGACATTAGCATTTTGAGAGCAGGTCTGTTTTGAAGCACAGTTTGCATCAGAGAGTGAAGGGACAGAGACATAGAAACAAAGGCCTCCTTTCCTGCCACCCCAAGTCGTTGACGAGACCTCCTCCCCTCCCACTGTGCCCAGAGACAGACCAAGACCTTCCTACGTCACATCCCCTGGCAGCCAGGGCAGCATGAGAGGACTGCTCCCCAGGGTTGACCTGCGTGAGCGAGGTCGTGTCCCAGGACCACGCCGAAGGCCTTGCCTCGAGGTGGACGGGGGCGAAGCCGCGAGCGCAGTTCACGGGAAGCAGCTGAGCTGGGTTTGTCGTGACCAGGCAGAGGTTGCGGCAGAAAGGCAGAGAGGCTGCACCCCTGGATAGAACACCTCCCGAGGAAAGAGCTCGAACCCCAGAGGCCACCGTGGCCTAAAGAGGCAAGAGGTGGGGGGTGAGAGGGCATGTCCTGGGGTAGGGAGACCTGCAGTCCCACTCTGTGCAGGCCACGGGGGTTTGTGGGAATGTGGGACTCCCGGCTGACAGGGAAGGTCTGGGGCATGCCGCCCCGAATGGGTGGTCGCTAAATGTGAGGCGTCTGTGCATGTGTGTGTGAGTGTGTGGAAGGAAGTGAGAAGCAGTAGAGGGGTTTGTTTCACCTCTGAGTTAGGAGGTTTTATCTACCTTCCAACTAGCTGAACCCAAGGGCTAGTTCTGATATGAGGTGGAGCTCATTCCTGCCTCTGTCACCTGTGACGTCTCCGTCCCTCTGCACTTTGTGCCCTGAGGAAACAGAACTTCTAAGAAAAAAGTTCAAATGTGTACTATTTTAACCCACAGAAGTCCCACAGAAGGTCCTGGGCGATATAGAAAGCCCTGCCTCCTCCTGCCCAGGGCTACTCCTCAGGGCTGGCCTCAGTACCATGCTGTGCAGGCCACGGGGGCTCCCTCAGACACCCCACTGTCTTTCCATGGACCATAGTACAGCTCCATGATGTGACGTGGTGATTTGTGACCAGTGTGATAAGACTCCTTCGTGCCAGGCACCACGGTGGGCTTTCCTACCCACCTGACTCACCAGCTGAGGCTCAAGTGCCGGACTTCCCTCTTTCCAGCCATTTGTTTCATGACACCACCTCAAAAAGTTTTATCAGGTTTCCTTAAAACCCCACGGCACTCAGCCAACACCCACTCACACCCCCGCACCATACACACCTGCCTGTCTGTCTGTCTGTCATCTAAGCATCTATCTGGTTGACATACACCTATAAAAAGATTATTAAGATAGACAGATATCAAAATGCTAATAGTAATTATCTGAGTTGTAGAATTATGGGTGTTGAAGATTTTGTTTTTATGTTTTTATATTTTCCAAATATTATAAGATACAGGTATTTTACTTTTCAAGAAAAAAAGATGACTGACACTAAAGATCTTCTTTGGGAAAGTGTGGCTGTCCCCAGTTGAGCTGACATGCAGGAGGACATGGGTGCCATGGTGGGGAAGGAAGCCACCCTACCGACTGCCTGCGCAGACCTCTGGCAGGAAGTGCAGTCCTTCTGCCCTGGGATCCGGCTGTAGGAGTCTGGGCGCCCAGGGGACGGGAGGGCCTTCTGTTTTTCCCGCTGTGCTCTGCCCCGTCCCCATCACAGACAGCCGGCAGTGGGGAGGGCGAGAGCTGGCCGTCTGCATTGGGGGCAGGGAGGTGGGAGCTGGGGACGTTGCTCCTGGACCCACCACTGACAAGCTGTGCTCCTGACACTGTCCAGGATGAGCGAGGGCCCTTTGGTACCCAGGGCTACTCTTGAGTATGCGGTGGACAAACCTCCCCTCCTGCAGAGTGCCTGGAGGGAGCTGCTCCGAGTAGCAAGCCTGGGTTTCCTGGGGAACTGGAGCACACTGGGGTGAGCCACTGGAAACCAAAGCCGGGGGATGGAGGGTCAGAGGCCGGGAGGCCTGCACAGCCTCTGCCCCAGGGGGGGAGTCGGCTCCTCTTCTGCAGGCTCGGTCCGGCACTCTGCTGTGCTGTGGGTGGAGCAAGAAGAGAAGCTGGGGTCCTCCCAAACGAGAATGGCAGTGCCTGCCCTGTGTTCCAAGTTTTTCAAAGAATCAGGTGAAAGAAAAGAACAAAAGAAAGTATTTTACCAGGAACACCAACACCCGCTCTAATCGACATTGATGTTCCCGGCGTCGAGGTATATTAGCTCCAAAGAGCTCAGTGACGGGGAAGGCCTTGCGTCCGGTTACTTCAGGGCTTTGACACAGGGGCAGCTGGGAGCTGTTGACCATGACCATTCTTCAACTGTCTGAGTTCTGGGATGCTTTTTGAAAGGGTGGGTCACTAAGTGAGTCCACGGCCTGGGTGCTTCTGGATCTAGCCTCAGAAGATCGACCTCCCAGGTCCAGGGAGGCCCTGGCTTCCCGGGCCATGGCTCTCCTGTCTGCTCACAGAGCCCAGCCCCGTGCCCCGCCGCCCTCTTTTGGCTGCCGTGGAGCCTGGATCGCCTCCCCCTTCCCAAGGCCCACCTCAGGGCCTGCCACTCCATGGGGTGCAGCGACGCCCCGGCTCCAGCAAGCTGTGGTCTGTCCCCGTGGGAACCTGGAGGCGCCAGGCTCGCGTGCATGAGGTTCAGCCTGGAGTGAGCTTGAGAACGGGGCCTGGAACCCCAAGAGCAGGTGGGAAGCCTGGGGGAGGGACTCAGGAGCCCTGGGGCCCACCGTCCTGTTTTTTCTAAAGGGGAGACGGAGGCCCCAGAAGTGAAGATGCTTCCCCACCGCCAACAGCTAATTGTAGCCAGGTCAGAACCCACCACCCCAGGCCTCTTGACCTGCAGGACCCCTGGCGTTCCTCTGGGGCGGAGACCCAGTCACAGAGGCTTGGGTTGTCAAGCATATCACCCAAGTGGGAGGCGCAGGCGTTGAGTCCCAGGGCCCCGGAGGGTCTGAACTCTCTCAGGGTGGGGGATACGAGCGCCCCAACAGCAGCTGCCAGGATGAGTGTGCCTTGTGCTGGGCCCTTCTCTCGGGCTCCTCCGCATTGTCTCATCTGGTGCCCAGCCCCCGGCTCACAGAGGACTCACTTCTCTCCCTCTCTCCTTCCAGGCTAATGGAGGTTGGCAGGATGCTACTACCCCTTCATCAGTGACCTCCCCCACAGAAGGACCTGGCAGCGTGCACTCCGATACCTCCAACTGATCTCCCGCCATCACACCCGCTGGCCCCGGGCCCCCTGGGGCAGGGGCCGGAGGGAGGGCTTCTCTCCCCACACTGGCGCCGTCAGACGGGGGTCGAAGCAATCAGCAAACACAATACGAGTCTCCTCTCCTGTCTTCTTTGGGATGCTCTCTCAGCCAATCTGGACACTTCTTTATACTCTCTTCCCTTCGTTTCTGGGTAGACGCGCCCCTCCCTGCCTCCAGCTGCCGGCCTGGCTTCCTGCCCCCTCCCTCTGTCCTAGGCTCCCCGGGTCCCTGCCCTCTAGTACATCACTGACGGATACTTTCAACAATTAGAGGAATTTGAAAGGAAGCAAATTACAAAGAAAATAATAAAAGCGCTTGTCTGTCTTCACGCTGTGGTTTGGGGAGCTGAATGCCCTCTGACCTGCTCCTGGTGCTGGCGGCCAGTCCTCCCGTTCCTCTTGTTGCTCTCTCTACCTCTGAGCAGGAAAAGCCACCTGCCCTGCTCCCCCCTCCCGCCTCCTCGGCTCCTCCTGTTCCCTGGGTGCTGGGGACTGTCCTCCGGCCTCCCGTGGGTTCCCAGGCAGGAAGTCCAGGGTAGGGAGGGGTGGGAGCAGCCAGGGAGGGTCCCCTCAGGCTTTGCCCCATCCCCCAACACTTGGTTGCAGAAACTCTCTAGGACCATTCAACGTTTAGGAAGCCACCTTCAGCTCCGGCCGCGGACGGGCCTGGTCTGGGCACAGCCATGACAGCATCAGTCAGGGGGAGAAGGCTCTGTCCTGCAGCATGTGGACTGTCCCTTCACACCAGGCACACACGGCACATGCCAACGGCGCAGTCTCACCTGCGCTTTCCCAAGACCATCTGAGCAAACGCCCACGCTCACAGCCACCACGCTCTGGCCCGCCAGCCAGGAAGGGCATTGGCAGTTCTGAAGGTCACTGTCAGGCCAGCAGTGAGTACCTGGTCTCTGGAACCAGCAGGTCCACCAGCAGGTGCCCCAGTGCCATGGCAGGACCTCACTGGTGAAGATCAGTGTCCAGTGGAAGCCTCTACCCCACCGTGAGCTCTTGGGAGCCACAGTCCGCTCAGGAAGTCCTGGATGGAGGTCGCCGTTGTAGCTGGCTGTCACCCTAGGTGCCGTGTATTAGCTGTCCTGACCCTGACCTCCTGCTATAGGTGAGCTTGTTGCTGGCCTGATTTGAAGAGACAAGAGCCAGGGGAAGGGATCGTAGCGTTTTCATGGAAATCATCTCAGTGGTTTCTCCTCCCTGGGAATGTCTGAGAGAAAATAGCAGGTGCCAAGAGCTCTTCTCAAATGTCCCCTGGGCTTGCATTCTTCCCAGCTGACCTGCCAGCTGACCTCGGGAAGGGGGTTACGTGGGAGGCGGCAGCATTGTCTTCACCCGGGACACAGGTTGCTGTGCTGGGTCCCAGGAGGTCTGTGAGAGACTGAGATTGACGTGCTCACGCCCCATCCGTGAAGTCAGGGAAGCAGCATCCCCAAGATGAGCTGGTTCGTAGCACGTAGGGACAACAGTGGTTTTCTTTTCCTAACTTCTGGTTCCTTCAGTCCCCTGTGTCACCACCATGATGACAGAGAGTTGGTAGTAGAGGTTTTTGGCTTGTCTGTTGTGCTCTCGGGTTTTGATTTGGATTTTGGTCTCTGTGGCTTCCTATGGGAGAGAAAAGCTTCCAAATTTAAAGACGAGGGTCTGATCTGTTAGCTCGTACTTAAATTCAATACGTGGCCTTGCAAGTGCTTGTCCCCGCTCCGGGGAGATGTCAAGACCCTGAGGTGAGGAGGCCTGCCCAGGAGGCTGGGGGACTGTGCCTGGCACTGAGTACTAAGTAGGAAGCCCTCTGTGTGCTCTGCAGAACGGGGACGCTGCCCAGGAGGCTTAAGGGTGTGGGCCTTGAAGGCAGTGCAGAGCGGACGCTGGCCAGATGCAGCCACGCTGGAGGACGAAGGTCAGGAGAGACTGCCTCTGCTACCCCAGGCCAAGGTCAGAACAGGCTGACGGACAGGCCTCGGGGAGCCTCGAGGAACTCGGGGTGAGGACGCGTGGCCCCGTGTCTCAGGGGCAGGGATAGGGATAGACTGAAGGTGCTCACACAGGAGCAAGGCTTGACTTGGGTCACAGCACAGAGGAGGGTTCCCAATGCAGATCAGGTGACTGCCACCTAGGTCAGTGAGCAGCTCAGAGCAGAGGCTCACAGAGCTCTTCTCCTGGCAGGAATCACTCTGGTGACTCCCGGCCCAGCACTTCCCCAGGCCGCCTCCCGTCCCACACCCTCCTGAGGTCCCCTCCCAGCCACCGTCATTTCAGCATGGTGGCCAGGAGATCTCCCCACCAGCACAGAGGGGTCCGCCGGCCAGACAGTGTGAGGTGAAGAGCCACCGGGACCTCAGCTTCCTGGGACATACGCTGGCCAGTCCCAAGACACCAAATGTCCCCAGGGGTCCTGCCGTTCCTACTGGAGGTGGGGGCGCGCCCCCCCCCACAGCAGATGCCCCCAGATGGTCCTGGAGGTGGGACTGCCCACCTTGCCCTGGCACAGCCCCTGGTCCCGGCACCCAGCCGTCGCCTGGCGGTCCCCGGGCCACCCTGTCTGCAGGTCCCTGTGTGGTGGCGGTTCTACCAGCTGGTGGCCTTTCCCCTCGCCCATCTTTCCCCCGCTTTCCTTCTGCTCTTTATTTTTCTGCCCAGAAAAACCTGACTTCGATACCAAAAAAGATGAAACTACAGAAACTCAAATTTAAAAAAAACTTAAAAAAAAAAAAACTCAATGATTCTTTCAGCTTTATTGACATATCCCATTGTTTCTTGCGACTGTGTCTCATTCTTTGTAGTATTGATGACGAACATTTGATAATGAATGTTCTTGTATATTCAGATAAAGAAAAAACCAAAAAAGCGGTCTGAATTTAATAGTGTTTATAATAAAAATTTTACAAATGACCCTCATAGCACGCGAAACAGGGCGGGGACGTCCCCTCCTTTCTGTGATGTCGCGCATCGTTCCTGCATTTGTTTTTAACACCAAACTACCTGCGTTCCTCGTTTCCCACTTTTCTTTCATTTCCTTGCATTTGTGAGTTAGGTCAGGATGCTAGGAGAGTGTCATTGTGCACGTCCATCTCTTGTTTCACGATGTTTAAAAGTGACAGTAACTCATTTTGTAAACTAAAAAAAAAAAAGGTTGGAATAGTGAACTTAATAGTTACAACCTAACACATCATTGTTTATTAACTTTGAGACCCAGAAATAAATTCCTTTCTTTTCTTTATTCCTGCTCTTTAAAATGCCAAAAAAAAGAAAAAAGAAAAAGGAAAAAAAAAAGTTTTTTGTGCTATTTTCAGTTTGTTTATTTGGGGGTGGGGGCTTTTTTAATTGTCAAGATTATGATCTTGCTGTTTTTGTTCCTTAAACATGTACACAAGGTGATGTGAAAAGATGGCAGTGTCCAGTCCCTGTCCCCGATCTCCTGTGCTTCAGAGTGCAGCTGAGCTGGGGAGCGAGGCGGAAGCCGGGCTCACCTGCGCTTCCAGAGCCCTGAGGAAAGCCCAGGACCTGCTGCTCCTTTGGGCTCTTTGAAAATCCGCAGAATGAGCCCAGGGGTCTCTTTACGCTGTAGGCAGAGGGTTTTGCCTGGGCTGGTCCTGAGTGCCTCGACCGAGGGCTTGCTTTCTCTGTGATGAGTGACGCTCCGTGAGGTCTTCCAGACAGCCGGCGAGGTGCCGTGGGATGGGCACCAGAGGCCACAGAGAGCAGCCTGGACGCAGACCCTGGGTCCAGGCTGGCTGCTGGTCCGGAGTCCTGATTTGGGGTGGAGAACTGGTGAGATACTGAGCCAGATTCATGCTGTCATGTCCCTGACACTGTCCCTGACAGTGCCCATCTTGTTGACCTGCGACCTGGACGGCTGCTTAAAATCGTGCAGCTGGCTTGGTGCGGAGCATTCTTATTGGTTATAGGATAAAAGGCAGCACTGTTATCCAGAAGGGACTTAATCTTAAACAGACCTCACTCAGCAAATTAGGTGTTCAGAAAGCAGCCAGAATTTCTGAAAAACGAAGCAAAACTGCAGAGGGCTAGGGCCCTGCTTCAGGAGCAGGCGGCGGACCCGCGGCTGCGCAAGTCCTCGCTGAACAGGGACGACCTTCTCACATCACCTTCACGGTCTCCATCCCTAGCTCAAAGCCTTCTGGAAACTTTATTTGTTGTGAATGTTTTTCTTTTGCTCAGTGTTTCCCCTTTTCTCTGTTACCTCGCTCTCCCCGGCGCTCGTCTGAAGCGCTGCCCTTTGGTTGCTGGTTCATGCTCCCTCCGCCCTCCCCCTCTTGTTTTTCAGAGTGTAGGCCTGCACAGCTCGGCTCTGTTTGGAAAGGTCAAGCTTCTCTGCTTCCAGAGCACAGGCTTCTGTCCCTTTGGGCTCCAACTGAACTTTTGTGTTCTCTAATGATACTAACACGGTGTAGGTTTACAGTCTCCTAATTTGTACTGGTAATGCATATTCCAAATAAATAGTTTCTTTTGTTGCAAAAAAAAAAAAACAGTATATATTTGTGTTTTGTGCAAATTTCTTCTGGCAAGTCTCTGCCCCCAGCAGGCCTGTGGTGGTGTCAACTGTGGGTAAACTGCTGCCCCAGCCACAGTGAAGGTCTCCAGGCCACAGCAGCAGGGCCAGACCTCGGGGCCTCACCTCACCACAGAGGAGGGCGGGCGGGCCAACCCAGCCCTGGATTGTCTGAGACGGTGCCCTCTAGTCCCTCTGCCACGGCTGTCTGCCCCCTGGCCCTGCTTTCCTTTTCTTGACCTGCAATGATCAGGTCCCAAGAAAACTGTGGTTCCCCAGATGTTTCCATGGAAGGAACCTAGGCCACGAGTGGCCCTCAGGTGTTCCAGCGGTGGCCCAAGAGGACTGCCCGCCTGCTTCCTGTTGTCTGCCGTCCCTCAGGAACACCTTTCCCAATTCTTTGCTCCACCGAGACTGACCTTGGAGGTGATGTTCTGTCACCAAGTGGCATCACCAGGTGTCCATGGCTAAGGCTGCACCTGGCCTGCAGCCTTCCCGTCTGCTGTCCGTAGGTGGCTCTCTAAGGGCGCTTCTCCTCTGGATGGGTGCTGCTTCTCACTTTCATGCTGTTCTCCTAGGAGGAGGGGAGCCCCGGGGAAGCCAGTGAGTCCTAGAGGCTGAGGTGCCCGGAACTGACGCCCTCATTCCCATCACCATCTCGGTCAGTAGGAACTGGATGACAGAAACTCAGCCCAGTGGCACCAAGTCACCACTGTTGTCACTGGACAAGCTGAGTTTTCCACTGCTTCAAAAGCATAAGGCTCTCTTCTGAGGACCTGACGGGCACCCCCAGGGCCTCAATGGGAGCTGCCTGTTCCCTTCGGACCTAATCTGGCAGCCTTTGATGGAGCTAGCAGCTCCGACCACGCCCCTTCCCGCTACAGGGAGCGTGCCAGGCCTGGGACCCACAGAGCATGGCTCAGTGCGCTGCCCCCAGGATCCCGCATGCCTTCTCCTGAGCTGCCCTGCAGTTTGATCATGGAGCTCCCAAGGACCAGATGACCACGACTTGAATCCCAGCTCTACTCCTGCCAGGCTCTTGCTGACGTCACTTCTGATACCAAATGAGAGTTTTCCCAACCAACCGCTTCTCCAGCTCTCCATGGCCCACTGGGTGTCCTAGGATCCAACTCAGTCCTGACCCTCTTCATGTGGAGTCCGTCTGAGGGCTCAGTCCCAGGACTGCCTCACGTCAGGACCAGCCTGGGCATGGGGTCACCCACAGTTCTACAGCCAGCCAAGACTCCAGTGGAGGGACACTCACAGTTCCTCCTTCATTCTGAAGACACCAATGAACAGCCAGCTGAAGCAGCGTCTCCGGGGAGCCTAGGGGACCCTGGGAGCAGCCACTGTCCCTGTGGAGCTGGGTGCACCACTTCCCTGTGGTACCTGTGTCCACCCCGGCTGGTGGGGTAGGGGCTTTGTGGGGTCCCAGCATGGCCACCGTTGGCTAAGCCACTCAGGGCCCGGGAGAGTCACTCCAGCTCCAGCTCCTCACTACAGAGCTGGAGGGAACAGGCTCAGGGCACTGAGCTTCTAATCAAGGCTTGTGCCTCCTGCCACCAGCTCTGTCCTGAAGCTATCTGTGGCCTGCCAATAGTTCCCCTAGAACAAGGCTCGGTCCATCGTCCTTATCATCAGGAAACCCCTAGGGATCTAGCTGCCCTGCCAGGAACCAGGGGCAGAGACCACCTAGAGGCCGAGCAGCTCTATCCTGAAACACTCAATGCTCCAAAGTCAGACTCTGAGCAGGAGCATGGTGCCACACCTGGCCTCATGCCACGGGCACCGCCCTGCACCAACACAAAAACACACCGTAAACTCACCTCCAGGCTACGAATCCGAGACCGAGATAGGTGATTGACAGGTGACAGGACTTGGACTTGGGTCCCAGCCCCCCAAACACTCAAATATTCCCAAATCTAAAGAGATAAAAAATATCAAAACCACTGCAGGTCCCACGCATTTCCGAGAGGGGACAGTCAGCCCCGTGTGTCTCCCATTTTACCCACTCCCTGCCGGCCACGTGCCCGTGGGTCAATGGCTTCGTCTCCGTCTCCGTCCTCTCATGGGATGGAGTGGACACTGTCCATCCCAGAGTCTTACACTGAGCTAGCCTGCAGCAGGCCCTTGGAACAACACCTGGCACCTGGGCACTGCTCACGTGTGACTGTCATCAGTGTTGCCTCCCATGTGGCACGGGCACCTCCGCCACCCTGGCCTGGCAGCAGTTAGGGTGTCCTCCCCCCTCCTGGTCCCGCTGTGGGGAGCCATTAGCTCTGGGTGGGTCTTCGTTTTTCTCTCCTCTTTCCCCCTCCTTCTTCCTCTGCTCTTCGTCTGTCCATCCAGCTACCACCATCGTCCCCTGTGAAGAAATGGCTGCCCGCTCCCTGCCTCAAGGGCGTCATCCCTGACCCCTCACTCACTGCTCCACCTCCTACTCTGTCACAAAACCATGGGTTTAAAAAAAATATGGATCCCTTTTCCTCTTGAAAATCTGAGTGACCCCGGCTCCAATGGACAGGGTAGTCTGGGCGCCTCGGGTTTGTGGGGACACCATTGTTTTGGTCAGCTTTTTCACTGCTGTGACTTAAGAACAATGTTAGGGGAGTAAAACTTCATTTAGTGACTCACAGTGTCGGAGGGCCCAGTCCACAGACAGCAGGCTCCATTCCTCGGGGCTGGGGCTCGAGGTGAGGCAGAACATCATGGCGGAGCGTGTGGCAGAGGGAAGCAGTTCACATGATGATCAGAACGCAGAGGGAGAAAGACTCCATTTACCAGACACAAATATAAACCCCAAAGCCAGCCCCCAATGCCCACCCCCTCCAGCCACACCCCACCTGACTCCAGGGAGCACTCAGTTGGTCCCTCAGGGACACCACACCTGAACCATAACAGCCACTGAAGCATGTCCCCTTAACCCTATGATCCTCCCAATGATCACCCAATGATCCTCCGCATCAGGAAATGCTCTTCCACCGCCAGAGCCCAGGGTCAAAACACACACGTGTGTGCACACAGACACCCACAGAGCACCCCACGTCTGCAGACAAAAACGTGGCTGAGCACAAAGCTGTTTCTGCACCCCTCACGTCTCACAGGAGCTCACCTGCCTTCCTCGGCCGACTCCCAAGACCACTTGTGTCTCCTTCGTGGATCCTGTGTTTCTGCACAAGAAAGAGGGGAGTCCGTGAGGCCCAGGCAGCAGTTTGCCCGTGCTGAGTGCAGACATCTAAGGCAGCACCAAGTGACCACAGCTGCGGAACCTGGAAGCGCTGGACGAGGCTGGCGGGGTACCCAGGCCACCAACATCCAGCTCCGAGCCAGGAAACTGGGGTTTTCAGACACTTGACGTCAGGAGGGAGGTGGCCAGAGCTGGGCTGGGCCGGACCAGTGAGGCCTCTGCAGCAAGCTCCACAGGCGAATTGCTCTGGCTGCCCACCCGCTGCTGGCCATCGCTGGGCTTCTATCCCGAGGGAGAGAGGATGTGTGAACTGCCCGGAGGGTAAAGTCCCCTCAAGGGAAGCTCTGCCCTCCAGATGCCAGCTGTGGCTCTGTTTGAAAGTCCTCAGATCCAAGTCAAAGGCCAGGGATCTCCAGCTCCTTGGCCATCAGTACAAGGAGCTGAGAGGGAGTTGGCTCTCAAAACGCAGGGCTCATGTGAACCCCAGGGTAGGCAGCAAGCAAGACGGGCCTCTGTGCCAGCCTCTGGCACATCTAAGAGGCAGTGAGCAGAGGCTCTGGAGAGCCCTGACCTCCTGCGTGTCCACAAAGCCTGGTGGCTCACACAGGGCTCCCGGCACTGGTGCCAGAGAAGGAGAGAGTGTGACCTCATCAATCACTGACCACTCGCCGTCGGCGCCCGGATTCATCCCAGTCCCATCAAGCCTCTCGACCCTCAAGGACACGAGACCAGCCTGCTCCAGCCTGCACAGCTGCCTCTTCAGCCTCGCTGCTCTGCTCAGAGTACCGCACTCCCGCCTGGGACTCGCCCGCATTGACAATGCCCCTCTGTGCCAGCCGCCACTCCGCTGCGGCTCCTGTCCTAGGTCTTGCTGTCGGTGACTTGCTCTCTCAGGGGCTGTTTGGCACACGGGAGCCCATTACTAGAAGGCAGCCGTCCGCAGACCAAGCCTGAATCCTGCAATGAGCAGGCATGTGCCTGACCACCCTGGGTGCCTGGCACACCTCTGCCCCCCAGCAGGACAGAAGACTCGCTCAGAACCTTAAAGATCAGACAAGAACCAGCTGAAATCGCCGGCTCCTTGGGGATGAAGGCCATGGCTCATCATTGACAAGTTTGGGCGAGAACTTGAAATTGTGAAGTCCATTAACAAAGCCGTGAACCAAAAGGAAATAGGATCAGGCTGGGCTTCTGGGAACAGATGTGGGTTACCGTGAAAGGCTCTTGCTGTTGGTGACTTGAACTAACTCATCTCCTCAGAGGACAGAACAACAGGAAGCCCCAGGAAGCCATGAGCATGCCATCTAACCTCGAGGAGAGGGACGAGTGCTGGCAGGAACCCCTGCCCCGAGGTCAAGACAGTCTGATGGGAAGCCCCCAGGCCTGGAGGAGCCCTGGCACCTTCCCCGCCACACGGGGCTCCGTTCCAGCAGCTGACCTGCGGATTCCCACCGGCAGACGAGAGCACAAGACCCTTGGGGCCCGCTGGCAGGGCTCCAGCTACATACTGGGGGCCAAGATGACGGTGGTGAGGACCCTGAGAAACCCGAGTGTAAGCCATGTCCACTTGACTTTGCTCTTCCTGCCCAGAGTGGCTTTCCCTGCTGTGACGTTGCACAGACACCACAGCCCCAGTGCGCTGCCCCAGTCCCCAGGGGTTATTGCCCCAGGCCCTCTGCCTGCCCCCCCCCCCCGGCTCTGGCCACTGAGCTGAGGTGCCTTCCACCCTCTGCCTCCCCTGCAAACTGAGAACACGGATTCCAGCTCGGGCCACAAAATTCCTGCTCTGTGGGAATACGAAGGTGAATAAGAAGTTATCCCGACTCCGACGTGGTGCAGTTGGAGACTGAACAACTCCTCCCACGCTTACTTTTCCTGTCAAGTGGGCCTTCACAGGAGGGACAGTGGCTGTGGTTCTCAAAGAATGTGAACTCTGACTCGTTCCTCCCAGCTGCCAAATGAATAGGTGAACACAGAAATTCACCAGAGGCCAAAGCCCCAGGCCGGGAGACACGTGTCCCAGAAGACCCTGCTGACAGTGTCCCAGCACACAGCTTCATGGCTGCTCCCAGCTCTCGTACCAGCCAGGACAGGGGCCCACAGAGGCTGGGGGTCTTGCTGGGGGGCAGAGTGAGGCTCCGTGGAGGACACCAGGCACCAGGCAGAGTGAGGCTTGGAGAGTGGTCAGCTGTGCTTACTCTTTCTGCAGCAGTGGCTGCTGACGCGAAGCTGTCTCCCTGGGGTCTCCGGGTGACATTTGTTCCTTGACTCCTCAGTCCTCGAGCAGAAGTTCTGTCCTTTGACTGACTTCCTCCTCCCTTGCTCATGTTCCGTCCCCCAAGGCCCAGGCAGAGCGTCTGACATTTGTTCTTGGTACAAGAGCACCATGTGCTCAGTGTGACTGAAGGAAGTCTCCCCAGGGTGGAGGTGAATGATTACCTCGGACTCCCCCTTCCCTTCCTTCAGACGCGGCAGCGTCCAAGCCACGCGGGGCCTGGCGGGAGCCACGTGACGGGCTTCCGTTCCAGCATGACGGTGATCGGGAGCTACAGTGACCACAGACCCTGCAAGGAGGAGGACAAAGGGCGGGAGGTGGTGGTAATGTCACGGGAGGGCCAGGGTCCTCCTCCATCACCAAATGTCCCCTGCCGTGCACTGAGTCCCCGTGCTGGGATGGAGGGCGTAAGGCAAGGCCTGGTCCTGCTCCTAGGTGCTGGGTCTGTGAGGGTCCATCATCGCCCCACAGCTCACGGGGTCAGTCTGCAGCTGGGGTGAGGTCTGAGCAGGAGCTATGAGGCCCGAGGAGAGTCTCCCCCGGAGAAGTGGGTTAGACGGCAGGGGCAGCCGCGCCTCAGGACCTGCCTCTCGAGCTCAGCCTCCGGGTTCTTTCGCGTACGTAATGACAGGACGAGTCCTGGGCAGAGAGAGGCGCGGGCGTCAGGGCTATGGGACAGGAGGGGAGCTGACAGGAACTGGGACTGGCGGTGGCCTGGGACAACAAAGGAGCGTCCCAGAGGAAGGGGAGGAGGCCAGAGAGGTAGAGGATGATCACCCCAGAGCACCACCCAGAGTGCAGTTGGTCTCCGTACCCACCGGTCCTACCTTCATAAACTCAGTCAGCTCGGACTCCCCCTTCCTGGGCGTCAAATCCTTTTTTTCAAAACTGTGTCTAGACTGAACATGCAGCGACCCTTTTTGTCATTATTCCATAAACAATAGTGTAGCAATTACTGACACAGCATTAGATGGTGTTGGTACCATGAGGACCCCAGAGATGATCTCAAGGACACAGGGGGATGTGGGCAGGCTACATGTGGCCCCCGTGACTTGTTAAGTAAGGAAGTTATTTAAAATCAGTAGTCTGGATTTGAGCATCTGCTGGGGTCCTGCAACCAGACCCTGGAGGGACAGTGGCTGTGGTTCTCAAAGAATGTGGACTGTGGTCCCTTCCTCCCAGCATGTGCTTACAGAGGACCAACTCACCACCAAAGATGGGAATCCTGAGAGGAGAGACCCACACCCTCTCCCCTTAGCGCAGATGAAGACAGAGGGGACGCCCGTGCGGGGCAAGGGGGATGGTCAAGCCACGTCCAGCTGCCTGGGTGGAGCCCCCTAGCTGTGGGGAGTGGGGTTGTGGAGGTCCTGGAGGCCTGGGAGAGAAGGGAGGGACAGCCTCCCGGGCTGCAGGCCTGAGTTAGGCCCCTCTTTCAGCTGTGAGCCCCCGACCTGGCAGTTCCCCGCCTGTGCTCACGGGCCCTTCAGCTCCAGTGCCATTCCGTGTAAATCTTTCTCAGAGAGCCGTTTCTCCTGGTGGTCATACAGTAACAGGCTCCTAAACCCGCCTGGGGGGTGAGTTACGAGCTGGTCCCTGGAGGCCCAGCCTCTGTTGCCCACAGAATGAATTGTGGCACTCCAGGCTGCTGGGCTTTTTATTTATTTATTTGTTTGCTTTAGCATATTTTAATCTGATCATTAAATCGCAATCTGCCACCCATGCCCAAGCCCGACTGTCCTCAGATGGAGCAGATTTTTCACAGGTAATGACACCTATAAACTTGGGGATGGCAGCACCAGAGCAAGCTGGAGGGGAGGGGGCAGAAGCACACCCCGCTGGCTGGGCCTTGGCTGTCCTGCTCGGTGCTAGGCCGGCCCGACCCAGCCCAGGGCAGCTGTGTGGCTGTCCGCGCAGCCGCCATGGCCTTTGCCATGGGAATGTGAGCCGGAAGGCAGAGGCGAGCCCCTGTGCGGTGTCCCTGCACGCTGTCACCCTGCTCCACACTGTGTGGGCAGCGAAGCCGGCCCTCAGCCTCCTCAGAGCGTCGCAAGGAGAGGCCTACAGGGATAAATCCCAGCAGCGAGGAGGCCAGGGGGTACCACGGAGACGGCGCTCGGGCCATCATCTGCTCAGGCTGCTCTCACTGGGGGACTGCCGTCTGATGCAGGGCCCGGCCCTCCTGAGGCTAGCAGCCACCAGTTCACCCCGCGTTGCCACCATGTGCTGATGTCCCTCCGGAGCTTCACAACCACTCTGGGGACGAGAGGGGCAGGTGTCACTGTTCCCCATCGGCAGGCGACGAGACAAGGTGTGGGGTGTGCAGTGAATTGCCCCAGAGGTGCCTGGCTCACAGCAGGTTCTCCACAAGCACATGTGGACCAGCAAATCAGCTCGTGTTGCCCTGAAACAGCTGCAATGCCCAAGTAGAGGTTGGCTTCTGGAAACCGTCCTTGCCAGAGGAAGATCCAGGGTGCAGGCCCCGGAGCCCACCACTTCCACATGGCCCAGCTGCTGAGGACCCCCCCCCCAGTTTCCCCCCAGTTGCTCTGTGCACACCAGAGGGCTTGACGCTGGAAAAGGTATTTGACGGTGGTGCACTGGAGGCAGGAGAAGATGAAGACGTGCCCATGTGGTGCTGCAGTGCCGAGGCCTGGCTCTAAGGGCTTGGCAGCTGTTCTGTTTAACCCTGACATCTTTAAGTGGGTTCTGTCATCCTGTTCATTCCAAAGAAGAGGCTGCGTCCGGCTCAGAGAGCAGCTTTCCAGAAGGCGGGAAGACACAGGGCAGAGGAGCTGGAGTCTGGCTTCAGAGTGGCCCAGCAGGACTCCACACCACCTCTCACTGGGGCTTCCTCTAGAACATGCCAGGACCCAGGTACAGCCGGGAAGGAGGACTCCGTTCTTGTCTAGTGTGGGCCTGGGAGCTCAGAGAGGGAGGGAGAGGGAACACAGCGCAGCTAAAGAGCACAGGGCTTCCCAGTCACCAGCCATCGAACCTCGAAGCACCTCTGAGCTGCTTGTGGCTTCAGGACAGGTTTGGAACATTGGAGGTGAAGCTCAGAAGCCCAGGTCTGGACCCTACACAGGCCACCAGATCACACAACAACCAATTGCATATGTCCATCTATTGTCCTGAGCCTGGTTGGGCAGCAGGACCTCACTGCATCTCAGTGAAAGAGCTGATTTACATAAAGCAGAGGAGTCAGAATCTCACACTGGAGCTCCGTGCCTGCAGCTCGCGTCTGCCGGGGTGGCCTGGACAAAGGGCCAGTCACAGCTCCTTCCCACTGCTACCTCTCGTCCATGTCACCTCCATATCATCCAGCCACGGAGTGTCAGAAGATACCAGGACACCCCAGGAGGACACAGGACAGCAGCTGACAAGCTGTCCCCTAGCGACAGTCCTGTTGGTGCCCCAGATGATGAGCGCCCAGCAGCTCTGCCCTTCCACGTCCTAACCAGCACTGGGACTGGCACCAACACGGCTCCACGGGACCCTCAGCTAACTCATCCACCACCCAGATGCTACTCCCCACTGCTGGCTCAGGGTCAGTGTTGATTGTTATTGTTTGTACTCTTACCACTCCCAAATTGAGCAAAGTGACCTCTAAGTCTGAAACATCATACCAAGACCAACATTTTAACTAATAAGTCAAAATTTAAAACAAATAAATAAGTGATTTGGCATCTGAGATTCAAAAGGGACCTCAGAAGTCCCCTGGCCAGCCCTCTACTTCACAAGCTGTGCATGGACCTGTGCTGTCCATTTTGTGGGATCTGACTTCTGATGGTCTTCAGCAGGAGGGAGACTTCCTGAAATCCAGGACTCCTAAGAAGCCATCTCTGGTGACTGATTAAAGGCAGAGGACAGCATCCAAGGAAATCAGCCTTGGAGATTAGGGTATTTATCAGGCAGCATGAACTTGGTCCCTTTTCTCGTCCTAAGTAACCCACTGAGCCTCCTGCCGTCTCCTCCCTCTCTGTGGGACAGGGACCTCAGCATCCCCAGGACTGTGGAGATGCTGCATTCAAAGGGCCCAGCCCAGCCTGGGTGTAGCTGGTGCCCCCGACCCCCTGCTGCCTTCCCAGCAGGCTGCACTTGGCTGCACACTGGGGACAGGCTGTGACACAGGGCTTCAGGGACGCCACGGGAAGACAGAACACCCTGTTGGGGACAGCGTGTTACTCTATTGAGGATGAAACCTCTGTGAGTGGAAGATGCACGCACAGATGCCCACGGCATTCTCAGGTGGGTCCAGTCTGCAAAGTCAAGGGTCCCCTCTCCAGTGGTGGCCACTCACCTTCCCACCAGCTCTGAGCTCTTGGGAAACACTGGCAGAGAGAGGAGAAAACAAACCAGGGGTGGGCAGATCCCGGGGAGGGAAGGGTGGAGCCAGGCGCAGCCACTGCTCAGCAACTGCTCCGTGTCCCCCTGGATTCCTTGTCAATGATTACTCAATCTCAGGCCTGACCTTTCTATTCTAAATAACACTGCAATATCAGCGCGGCCCAGCGCGCAGCCTTCGCAGGAAATTAACTGTATCTGGTTCTCACAGGAGACCCAAGAAATCCCCCCAGTCACTAAGCCCAGACTGGTTTACAGAAAAAAAGACCCAGTATTATCTTCTTCTCCTACATTCCTCCTAATTCCCGTCTAAATATCACAGAGCTCCCAGCTGTTTAATTCTAATAAATACTCATCTATTCTCAAAACAGACAAATGTTAGGTCTCAGGTGGGCCCCACGCGTTCTGTGAGGCAGGAAGATGGAAAAATGGAGCAAGAAAGAGCAGAGCGGCTCCCAGCCAGCTCCACATTCCCCACGGCTTACAGTGGAGCAGGGCCCATGGTGACCTCAGGTGGCCGTTGTACAGCCAGTGGCCAGCACTAAGAGGGTCTTTAATACCTCCATGCGTCTGCAGCCGGAGGGCTGGAGGCGGGGAGCGGCAGGAGCCCGGCAGCCCAGGCTGCAGCTCCTTGGGGAGTCTGCCTCCCTTCCCTGAGTTGGGGTTTGGACCTGGGTTCAGGTGGCCACGCCCTGTGCAGGAAGCCCACGGGGAGAACAGGAAGATGGAAAGACGGCTGGCCGTGACTCCGGGAGCTGGCTTATTTACAAATGACATGCACCAGCAGTGGTGG